ACAACTCCACACACTGGAGTCTTTGCAAAGATATATCCATCTTTCCCTGCCCTAAATTATATACCTGAACTGTAACAACTTAAACAGTTAGAGGACTATTTTTCCCTTTCATTCTATATATCAGAATAAGCACTAACAGTATTTTCTGGCCTTAAAATGCATTAATTTGTCTTTAGACAACAAGCTCCAAGTTAAACAAACTGCACCAATGAAAAAGAAAGTCTCTCTTAAACAAACTCCACAATCTTATCAGAAAAGTGTTAGGAAACAGTTTAAAATAGAAAGTGCTCGTTTCCATACTCCCCATTTTCTGGCAGCAGCTCAAGAAGTTAAGTCATGTTTACTTTCCTTAATGGAAAACCACCACTTGCTCTCCCCCTAATGTCAAGACCAATCACGTCTGAAGCTCTGCGAGCAGAGTCTGGCTGAGTCAGCTGCGCTTGGCCAGGCTGACGTACAGCGCAGGACACAAAGAGTGATTTAATCAAACAGAAATTAATTGAGCTTCTTTTTCACATGGATGCTGGATGCAGCACAAGATTTTTCCAGGAGGGAAATTTTTAAGGGTTTAGTTTTGGTTTTAAAGTGATGATTGAATTATACAACATAGTTCAAGAGTCCTAGCAAGGTCTTTTCAAGGCCTAAAACACAAAGGAGTCTAAATACATAACTAAGCAAAAGGAAAACATAATAAAAACACTCGCAAGGAATCAGGATTTTACTTCTAGACAGAATTTTCACATGCATGCACACACACATAAATGTATAAGTAACTTTTTTATACAGAACTCTTTCTCAAAACACAGAATTCAAAGTAAATTCTCATCTTTTCATATGCATACAGTTAAATTTGAAACCAGAGTCTAAGTAGGACTCAGCAGCCCCTCGGCCTGATGTGAAGAGCTAGCTTAGCTAAACCCCTGGGTGTGCTGCAGTTAAGGTAGAAGGTAACTTTTCCAGAACATAACATGAAACGCTTCTTGGTGATGAATAGAGAGGAAAAGCAAGATACTACCCAGCTCATTGCATTTAGTTGAAAAGATAAGCAATATCACTATGCTGCTCTAAATTAAGCACACAAATCCTTTATCTTCAGTCTTTACTTGAACTACACTGACAAGAAACTTAGTCCTCAAACTCCATCAAAATGTTACTTACACCAAAATAATCTTAGTGCAAAGGTACTGCTGCTTTATGCACTATTACCTTCTATTTATCCTTTTGCAAAACGCTGCATTGCAACTAAAGTTTTGAAGCATACAATGATTTTTTTCCTGCAACACCTACTAAATAAGTGTTTACCGCAGTTGGCTGCAGAGAATCTGCTCAAAAGCCCCCACAACCCTGCTCTCCAAAGCAGTTTCAAAGTAGTTCGGTAGTAGTTCCAAACTTCAAGCCCAAGTTTCAGCATAAATCGCAGACCTCTATAATTTCTAAAGTAGGATTTATAATTTTATCTATGTTGTTCCTCTTAAAAAAAAATTTCCCAAAGTTCTGGATTTTTACATTAAAAACACGGAAAATAATCACTAAAATGGGTGGCAACAGTATCAGAACGATGATATTTCACACATAAAATGAACAAGTCTCTGCATTATTATTAGGTCAAGAGAGGTTCTCCTCCCCCTCTACTCTGCCCTGGTGAGACCGCATCTGGAATATTGCATCCAGTTCTGGGCCCCTCAGTTCAAGAAGGACAGGAACTGCTGGAGAGAGTCCAGCGTAGGGCTACAAAGATGATGGAGGGAGTGGAGCATCTCCCTTCTGAGGAGCGGCTGAGGGAGCTGGGGCTCTTTAGTTTGCAGAAGAGGAGACTGAGGGGAGACCTCATTCATGGTTATAAATATTTCAAGGGTGAGTGTCACGAGGATGGAGCCAGGCTCTTCTCGGTGACAAACAATGATAGGACAAGGGGTAACGGACACAAACTGGAACACAGGAGGTTCCACTGAAATTGGAGAAGAAACTTCTTCTCAGTGAGGGTGACAGAGCCCTGGCCCAGGCTGCCCAGAGAGGTTGTGGAGTCTCCTTCTCTGCAGACATTCAAAACCCGCCTGGACGCCTTCCTGTGTAATCTCATCTGGGTGTTCCTGCTCCGGCAGGGGGATTGGACTGGATGAGCTTTGGAGGTCCCTTCCAATCCCTAACGGTCTGGGATTCTGTGATTATACCCCTGGAATATCAGTGCTAGTGAACCAGGAACATGGAGGCAGATTAACAGTGAGGGTTTCTGTCCCTTATTCTTTAATCTGCAAATTGAACAGAATTAGGAAACAGAAGAGAAATACAAGGAGTACAACAGAGTTGACCAATTATACAAAAATCTCATCAATTCTACTTTACATTTCTTATGCCACTACATTATTTTGCTTTAAAAAGTTTTCCTTGACAAGGTCCTGGGGACTTGGCGCAGGTCATCAATGCTGACAGTGGAAATATTTTTATTGAGTGCTTCAGGAAAAGCAGCGGATGATCCCAAGTCACTAAAACCAACCAACCAACCTCAAGCAATCTTTCAAAACAATTATTCCAGTCTATAAACAGTAGCTTCAATGTTCCTGTAACCCAGAAAACAATAGTTCCATAAAACTTTATATAAAGCAGTCATGTAAAAATAAAGAAGAAAAAGAAGAAAGGCGCAGCGCGAAGTAATTTCAGACAACCAGTTTTGTGAGAGCTTTAATGGCACAAAATGTTTATAAGCTACAACTTATACATGTACTGTAAACTGTATATAATGTTACAAAGTGCTAACTAATTTATGAAGAATGCATAATCACTTTGGCTCAGTTAACTCCAATATTTCAACAAATGTCAATTAAAAAATTTGAATTTCTAACAATCTTCAGCTTTCTCTTTTTAAAACAGTAAGTAAATATGCATTTGCTGCAGTTAGGTTAGCCTGCTGCATTTTTAATGTGCGAGTTTATGCATGTTTTTTTCTTGATCCTATTTACAAATATTCTAGGCCAGTTTTCACTGAATGTAAGAAAAACGAAGCCTGCATTTTTTTTTTTTCCAAAACTGTAAACAGGTATAAAGCTTTTTAAACAACATTTATCTTAACAAAACTTCAACTATCAATAGTTGAAACCCCTTTTCAAATTATACAACAATCTGTTTCTGTTCACTGTAAAACTAGAAGGTGTAGACTCTCATCCAAAGCTTGTAGTAGGGTATCAATAAATACTGCACTGTATCATAGCAAGTGATCATGTCTCCATTCTCCATACCTAGTTTTCACAATTTTTACTTCACGGCTCCTTCAAATATTATAAGCTGTGTTGATACTCTAGCCACAAGCTTGCAATGTTATTTATCAGATATTCTGAGGAAGAATTACCTTTTAATTTAGAAAGGGGTGATATTTTTTTTGGGAAAAAAAAAACAAAACTACTCCCCACTTAGTAAAAATCTATTTTTCCACTATTCCAATTTCCATACAAAACAAGGTGCTGTAGTTAGAACTGAAAGTGTTTCAGCCTTTCTCCCTTCCCCTCAGTTTTTAGGACTGTAAAATGATGAACCTGATACCATCTAAAACACCCTTCACCACTTCCCCCTTCCCTCCCCCACCTTTGGGTGAAACCCAAAATCCACGCTTGAAACAAATAATGCAGTTGTAGGCAACTCAAGTGCCACGAGATTCACAACTGAAAGAATAACAGCAGATGTCTTCAAGAGCATTTTTTGTCAGACCGCCCTTTCACCCCAAAAGCATTCTCTAACAGCAGCCAGAAGTAGAGAGGAAAAATAAATACAGCTTAGCGGTGGATTTATACTTTGCTTTTTTACTTCCTGGGAGTTAACACGGTTCTTTTAAACCAAGTCTCAACTGGGATTTAGCTCCTATGCATCAACTGCTTCAAGCGATCACTGCTATATCAAATAATCAACTTTATTAAGTCTGATGCAAGCAAACATTTATAGGTAGCTTTTCCCTCCAAACTGGCCGACTATATTTTCTTATCATTTTCTACAAGTCAGCCCACTATAGTTTTTATTTAAATGAGATTTTTGCTAGTTTTAAAATTAGCATTGGTTCCCTAAATACTTAGTATTAAAGTCTATATCACATTTTTTTATATATTCATATATATATAAAAAAAGAGTATTCTATCCTTCAGAGTCATGCTACATGTTCTGAAATCCAATAAAATCTATTTAAGGACATGACTGTCCCAATGCTTTGTAACAATTTGGTACTAAAGCTTCACATTTTGAAAAGAAGTGTCACTGAAGGAGGACAAGGCTGAATGTTCCCTAAGAGAAAAGGTCAACGACATCAGTGAGAAGTCTATCTAACATGAGACATCACGAGTGACTTTCAGATTCCATGGATCCCCAAAGGAGATTGTACAGTAAACAATGAGAGAGAGGAATATCAAAAACTCATTTGCAGAAGACATTTCAGAGCTTTACCACTTCTGAATCGTTACGCACCTGCAAGATTGTCCCCCTTAAAGATACGCCAAACACTTCGCTTTCTGAAACAGCCATAGCATCGGAATTGTAAATTGTTCCACGACAAACAGAATCATATCCTTTTATACAGAGCCTAACTACTGGGTTTTTCCTTAATTTAAAACTACTTTTAAAAGGAAAATTTCACATTTAAAATTTTCCCTTAAGAAAACAGGTAAGGAAAAGAAAAGCTTCTTCACATGCAAACAATGCGATTTTTCTAATATTTTCTAGGCATCAGACAGGTTTTCCTACAAGGAATAAGGAGCTGACTTCATAGAAAAGACAAGATTACAACAATTACTTAATATTAAAATATGCTGATGGATTTAGTTATTCTACTTTAAAATCTATGCAGTCTTTGCCTCCTGCAAATCAAATGGTGTTAGCCAATACAAGGGGCGAAGGAAATTCCCCCAGAAGCTAATTTAAACTGTTTTCTATTGCCAGTGATTTCTTAGCTTATTTCACAACCAGCTTGTTTCC